CGCCCCCCCCCCCCCCCCCCCGGTTGGGGCGCCCCCCCCCCCCCCCCGGGCTCGCTCCCTCCCTCCTGGCTGCGCACTTTTGCAGCGCGCCTGGTCTTTGATGTCTCTTTACATTATGGCAGAGCAGCCACATGCTCTTCCCGGGCGCGGGGCTTTGTGTAATAGAACTGACATTTGGCCCTGATACCTGTATCTCTTGGTGATTGCAACAAATTTCTAAAATAAATATTGTACTTTGATCTCTCGGCATTGCATTTTTAATAGACGCTCCAAACATTACTTCATTAAGAAGTTTTTTAGGAGTTCTGAGTGCGAAGGAAGGGAGGCTAAACAGCAGTTCGGTAAAGTCTCCCTCTAAACTTCAGCTGGGGTCTGGGAGGGCCGGAATCCCAGCGGGTTTCACAAATGGAGATGAGCGCTAGAGCTGCGGCTGCGAACACTCCAGAGAGGGCCTACAGTGTGCCCGGCACTCTTAAAGATTTTGTATATGTTAACTCTGTTAAGCCTACCACCGCTTTACAAGGCAAGTTCTATTATAACTCCCAGCTTACAAATGGGGAACCTGAGGCTCAAAGTGGCTGAGTAACTTGCTTGCCATTGGCTTCGGAGTCCTTGCTCTTAACCACCAAACCACTACTCTCTTTCGCCTGCCGGTCACTGGTGGTGGTTTAAGTGGCTAATGGGGGCATGTTGGACAAAAAGTTAACTCCTATCACTATGGAGATGTGAATTGGCTCTTCTCGCCTTTTTGGTAAAATAGCTAACAGATTCGGCAAAAGAGGATGCCTTTGAGCCTGCTTAGCCCAGTCGGCCCGCCTCCCGGCGAAAGAAGGGTTCAAAGGAGCCAGAGAAACAAACTCTAAGGAACCAGATTTGCCTCGAGGATGCGGGCATGTGCCGGCGCGGTGTGCGCCACTGCGCCACCTGGCCTCTTATTCGCATTCGGGGAATGGCTCCCTGGCGTCCCAGACTTCTCTAGGACTCGACCCCTGACAGGGCCTGGGAAGGGGCAGGTCTGCTAGGCCTCAGAGCAAACCACTACACCCTCTCCCCTTCCCCTCTCCCAGAGCACCCCGACCTCATCTTTAAGAGGAGCCAGACCACGTCGGCCGAGCTGTGCGGTCTCTGCGCACCGTTCTAGGAGTGACATCTCATTGGGGAGAAGTGGGGACGTGAGAGTGGGGCCGGGCGAGGGGCCCAACATACTTGCGCCGCGTTTGGCCCATTCATCTTCAGCATGATGTTCCCATTTCGCTGGCGCGGCATAGTAGGATGTGGCCCTGGTGGCACAGTGTCCCGACCCCTGATTTAAGTGCGGAGAGCACGAATATACAGCCCAGACTCCGAATCCGTTGGATTTAGGCTAACTGGCTCCACATCTGCAGTTGGGCCACCTGGTCCGTCCTCTCACGTCAATCCCAGTCACTGTTGGGTCTCCGGCAGGACCACACGCAGAAAGGCAGGGCGCGAGTTGATTTGGGTTCCCCACGCAGCCGGCGGCCTCGGAGAAAGGAGACTGTGTCCGCGGGAGGTCGGACGAGGAGCAGGGTAGGCCAAGCTGAGGCGGCCCACTCAGCTGCGCGGCTGCCCGAGGCACGGCCGCGAGGCCTCAGAGGCGGTTCCAGGTCCCTAATTCCTCCCGTGCAGGAGGACCCCGCGGCGCCCGCCCGCCTCTTGCTCCTTCCCCTCTCCGCGCTCCCCGGTGAGGCGATCCAGGTGTCGCAGGGCCAGGCCAGGACGCTCCCTGCGTCCTGGGAGAGAGAGAAGCAGGCGCCGACTGTCCCTTCTCGCCGCATGTGGACGGCCAGCGAGGGTTTGGGGGTAACCCGCACCCTGGAGAGCGCCTCCCTGCCCAGCTTCGTGAAGCACGCCCCGCGCCTGGTGAAGAACTTTCTTTACTTTTCAGTGGCGACAGGAACACGAGTTTGTTCCTGACTTTTCTTTCCCCTTCGGGGACCTCCCTCATATGATTTGCGGTATGTGGAACCACCACAACAAAAAAGGCTTCTTTGGCCGCGCCTCACTGTCTTGAGGAATTCCCTGGTGTGGTGGTGCGGCGGCGGGGAGCGCACACTCGCGTGGCGGGGCCTAGGGAGAGAAACTACTAGCAGCGTTGGGGGCTCTCCGTGGGGCCTAACAGCGGCCAGCCGCCTACCGGCTCTGCTCGGTGTCAGGGCTGCCTGCCTGGCGAAAAAAGGGCGGGAGAGCAGAATTATTTTCCCTCGGGTGTAGAATACGTTTTGCTGTAAGTGTTCCTCCAAGCTCAGCTTTGGGGATAAGTGCGGCGCGGGTGTTTTTTCCAGATTCGCTGTTTGCAAAAGTTGTAGCCTCAGGAAAACTTCCAGGTCGCCCGCAGGAACGTCATCAGAGAGGCCCGCTGGCTCAGCGGGCGCGGCCGCCCCGCCCCGCCCCGGGTCACAGCCCTGCCCCCGGCTCCCCTGCGGTGGGCGGGGGGACACGCTGCGGAACAAGTGCGGTCGGCCCCACGCCCCGCCCCGGGAACTCGCTCAGGTCCACGGTGGGCGCGGGCGGATGCGTGTGCTGTGCGGGTGCGGGAGTGTTAAGAACGGGGGAGAGTTACCCTCATCCCCGTCTCAAAGTCCCGCGCCTGGAAGCCAAAAGAAGATTTTTTGAGAGATAACAAAGACACTTTGTCACTTTGGGCGCTGCCTCCGTGCAAATCTTTAATTGCGGGGGGAGAAGAGGGGTATCGAATGTCTCGAGCAACCCAAGCGCGGGTCTCCAGGCGGCAAGGCCCCCTTTGATCAGGAAAATCCAATTATTTGTGTATATACATTTCCCACATAGTGATTACTTCATTAATTGTCCCGCCTTTATCTCCTCCCTTCCCATCCCCCCTAATAATCAGTTCTTTTATCCAGACCAACAAACACACCATAGGAGCTTTGTGGATTCAAAGGATTTGCTTTCGCTTCTGAAAGAGCCGCTATTCTTTGATGATTGGGTAGCGGCAAACTTCAAAGCCATAAATCTTCCCTCTGACTGGCTGGCGGCCCAGCAAAGTCCTTATCAAATTCTTGGAGGTGATCCTCAAGCGCTCAGACCGCGCGCGGGGCGAGCGAGCCGGCGCGGCCAGGGACGCGGGCGGGGAGGTCCCCGGCGTGCAGAGCAGGCG